GTATTTATATTTAGGATTTTTGGCTCCAATGTGCATCACCTTGCACTTGGCCACATTGAACCCCATTTGCCATGTTGACGCCCACTCGCCCATCCTTGACAGATCCCCTTGGAGTGCCTCACAATCCTCACTGGTTTTCACCACCCTGAACAACTTTGTATCATCCGCAAATTTAGCCACTTCACTGCTTACTCCCATCTCCAAATCATTAATGAACAAGTTAAAAAGCAGTGGACCAAGTACTGATCCCTGCGGTACCCCACTGCTTACCACCCTCCACTGAGAAAATTGCCCACCTACACTCACTCTCTGTTTTCTATGAACTAGCCAGTTTTTGATCCATAAAAGGACTTGTCCTTCTATCCCATGATTTTTGAGCTTACTTAGGAGCCTTTGATGAGGAACTTTATCAAAAGCTTTCTGGAAGTCAAGGTAAATAATATCTATTGGATCCCCCTTGTCCACATGTTTGTTCACCCCCTCAAAGAACACTAACAGGTTAGTGAGACAAGATCTTCCCTTACAGAAACCGTGCTGAGTCTGCCTCAATAGGTTTTGTTCATCTATGTGCCTACTAATTCTTTCCTTAATAATGGTTTCCACCAATTTACCCGGTATCGACGTCAGACTGACTGGCCTGTAATTTCCCGGATCTCCTCTGGAACCCTTTTTAAAGATGGGAGTGACATTTGCTACCTTCCAATCCTCAGGAATGGAGGCAGATTTTAAGGAAAGATTACATATCTTTGTCAGGAGATCTACAAGTTCACATTTGAGTTCTTTCAGAACTCTCGGATGTATGCCATCTGGGCCTGGTGATTTTTCAGTTTTTAAGTTGTCTATCAGTTTTAGGACCTCCTCTCTCGTCACCTCAATCTGACTCAGGTCTTCCAACACCCCTCCTGAAATCAGTGGTTCTGGAGTGGGCAAGCACTTCTCATCTTCCACAGTGAAGACGGAGGCAAAAAATGCATTTAGCTTCTCAGCCATTTCCCTATCATCCTTCAATACTCCTTTTACCCCTTGGTCATCCAAGGGCCCCACTGCCTCCCTGGCTGGTTTCCTGTTTCTAATGTATTTGAAGAAAGTTTTATTGTTGGTTTTTACGTTTTTTGCTATATGCTCCTCATATTCCCTTTTTGCCTGCCTGACCTCAGACTTGCATTTTATTTGCCATAGCCTGTGTTCCGTTTTATCAGCCTCACTGTGACTAGCTTTCCACAGCTTAAAGGAATTCTTTTTACTTTTTACAGCTTCCATTACTCTGTTTGTTGACCATGCAGGCTTTTTCCAGTGGCACCTTTAAGACCAAGTTGCACCTCTTTTTCTATGAAATGACCCCTGCTTTCATGAATCTGACTAATCCCCTTGTAAAGCTATGTATACCTATGGCCATTACTATATCATCTGGTGGAAAATTCTACGTTTCAATCACTCAAAAAAACAAAAAGTATCCCCCCCCCCCAGTGTTTCCATTGGAAAAATGGGGGGGGGGGGAGAGAGAAAATCCTCGGAATTAAAACTCATTCTAAAAGAGAAAACATCTATAGGAGGGGGTTATTTCCAGTGTAACACCAAATTTTTCAAATTTTCCCCCTGGAAAAATCAACAAAAACGTCCTCAGAATTTCCTTCTGCAATTTTCCTTTTTTCCCCCCCTGGCTCTTCAGATCTTTGCTAGCACCCCGGGGAAAAGAAAATTGGACCCAGCTTCCTCCTGCAACAGTTGGAAAGCTTCTAGTGTCCTGGCCCCACTGCTGGACCTCCTGATGGCACCTGGTATTTTTGGCCACTGTGTAACAGAGTGTTGGACTGGATGGGCCATTGGCCTGATCCAACATTGGCTTCTCTTATGTTCTTAAGTTCTTATTTGTTTTTAATGTGGTGGTAGAAAGTGCCATCAAGTCCCAGCAGACGTATGGTGACCCCATAGGGTTTTCAAGGCAAGAGACAAACAGGTGTAGTTTGCCATTGCCTATCTCTACATAGCAAACCTAGACTTCCTTGGAAGTCTCCCATCCAAGTACTAACCAGTGCTGACCCTAGTTAGGTTTTGAGATCTGACAAGATTGGGCTAGTCTGAACCATCCTGGTCAGGTCAATGTAGAGGTCTAAAACAGTGATTTCCTTAATTACAATTTGAAATGGTACCATTCACACTAAGATTTACCCTGCTCACTAACCTGGTTCAGGTGTTCAAAATATTCTCTGTGTAGGGGAGAACAGTGTCGTTATATGGCTTTCCTACATCTAAGCATCTTCAGGGAGTCCTTCATATGTACAAATGTCCACCTGATAAGGGTCATGGGTTTTTTACAGCATTCCCAATTGGGTGTACAAAGCTTCCATGCTGGCTTGCTGCAGAAAGTCAGCCATACGCTACCCTCAAAAAGTACACTGCTTATTTGAAACTTTTCTTACTTCGTTTGGCTGTATGTATAACCAGGCTTTAGCAAATAATGTTTTTTCCTTCTCTCTTGTTGTGCAGGCTTCTTTCCAAACAATGGCAAAAAAACATAAATAAAAAGATGCAAAAGCGGTGGGACTAAGTCTTACCTCTAGTTTTCTTAAAACTTGGCTGATCTTCTTTAAGCCTTTAGCACATTCTTCAGTGGGGGTGGAGGTATGTTTATTTCTGTTGTTGCATGTATAGGATCATTGCAGGGGGGATGGAAGTTCTACACCAGAAAACCAGCTTTTCCAATACATGCTGCAATCATAATCCTGCATATTTTTTCTAAGCTTTCTGTATTAAGCTAGAATTTGCTAACAGTTGTGTTCATTTTCAAGTTTACGCAGGGAACACTGTGTGTATCCTTGGCCAGCAGATAGGCTGCAGGCTGAGAGTCATAAAATGGGAAGAGCAGATGGCCTCCCCAAATTTAATTTGCTATTTTATTATCTCTACGCTGGCCCTTTATCATACTTACATTTTTCTATTGCAGTTAGGAGGGGGAGAGAAGGGAGGGAAAACATGTGTAGAGCTGCTTTTGAGACAGCTCACCATATAGCTGTCAATCCTTGGATTTAGAAAAATGAATCACCAATGGAATGCCATGTTGCCTAGTGTTTCCAGCCTAATCTTTGCTGGCACCGTGACTGTCATCAGAAATCTACAATATTTCATATAGCTTGACATCTCAGTAGTTACCAGCAGGCTAATGATGCGTTGTAGATTGTTTTTCAAAAATGGTCTCCAACTGCTTGTAAAAGCACAAAGAATTCTTTAAAAGTGCATTCAAACGTGGGGAAACCTGACAATCTTCTGTTTCTGAGTGTCTTCCAGCCTCTCAACAGGGAATGATGATATATACAATTTGTTTGATTACTCCTTTTGATCTTTTATTTATCATGGGTTCTGGGTTTGATCAGTCTGCATTATTGTCTTTGCCCTGCTTGGGAGCCTGTAGAATTGTATCAAATATTGTGGATTTCATTATATTCAGATTAAATCTTCTGCCATCTTGGAGCTGGTATTTTGGTACGACAGCTCCCGCAGTCACCTTGCTTAGTATACCTGATTCCAAGCAAGGCATTGAGGAAACTGCAGACAGCACTACTCCCAAAAAATTAGGTCAATTTAATTACAAGTATTGTTCAGGTCTGCTTTATTGTGGTAATAGTGGCTACCTAGTAAATTATCTAGTGTAGAATCTGCTTTGAGTCATAAAAGGGTTACATTTAATTTAGCCATTTAACAATCTACTTTCTGCATTTTCAGTCAGATTTTAGGATATGTTTTGTCTGTATGCTGAGAACACTATTGGCCCATTACACAGCTTTCTTCTTTAGGATTTTCGGGTGGTTGGTGATTCCCAGGATCAAGGATGCTAGTTTATTAAGATCTTGATATCAGATTACAGCTTAATTAAGTGCTTCTATGACTTTTAGATAAAAGGTTGGATCCTGCCAACATTGTCACTCAATCACATCCATTTCCCCTACTTACAATAGCCCCCATCCTATCTGACTTTTGGCCATGTAAGTCTGATGATCCCTGGCATAGCCTTTTTGATTGTCAAAAAGGAGTTGTTTCTCACTTTTTCAACAGTGGAAAGGTTGGTCCAACTGACAGGCTACAGGTAGTCCTCAAATTTCCATAATTATAAATGGGGAAACAATGCAGATATACACTGTCAAGGCATAATACCTGGAGTGATAAACTATGGTTAATGCCAAACTCTAACCCATGGTCTGCAAAAGTACAACTTCAAACTGTGCTTTCAAATCATAATTTTGATATAGTATGGAAACTCTGGCTTGGATGCACAGGAGCATTCTTGCAGAAGAAAGGACTGTTGCCTGTGGAATATGAATTTTTCACTTTTCTCCTCCCACTACAGCCCCAAATGCCCCCATAATGTTGCTATTGTGAGACAGGATACCCCCAAGAACAGTGTGTCAAGGGGCATTTGGGCAGCTGGCAGAGGAAAGTGGCAAGAAAATCACACTCCATGGTTAGAAATCCTCCTGTGCTTGGAAACATTCCAGCGAATCCAAGCCCATGGCTTGCCATAGCTTGTAACCATACAAAACAATGGTTAGTCAAAAAGCAGCAGACAGAACACACGAGTAATTGCTCAAAACTGTATGCACATGGGCTCAATGAAGACCTTTAAATACACATATGCAATTCAGAAGTGGAGTGGCAGACATGATCTCTCCCTTACACATACACAGTGAAGAGCTGTTGCCAACTGAGGCAAAAAGAGTGGGAATAATATGAAATACTCCATCAGGAATGGAAATAGAATTGTTTACCATCTCCCCTTTTGTAATCTATTACTAACCCGTGAGATTTTGTTCCCTGTTTCCACAGGTGAGCAATACAAAGATGACAAATAGTCTGCAAACAAAACAAGGCCAGGAGAGTAATCAATCAATGAGCAAGTGGACGGAGTTGATGGTTTCATTAATCAAAACTAAAAGGACCGGTAAATTATAAAAGCAGGTGAGAAAATAATCTGGTCTGGTGCCTTGTCGTTGCAAATGAAAATAAGGATGTGGGTATTATTGCTTTTGATGGGTACTCTGTCTGCCTTTGCAGAATCATCAGTGCAGACCTTTGAAGGGTAAGAAAATATTATTTACTTGCATGTTTCAGAACACATGCACATGAGATCTCTGGTATACCCAATTACTTTCCACCATTTTCTTTAGGGAGAAAGTATTTCGTGTAACGCCTCACAATGAAGAACAGGTAGAAGTCCTCACTACCTTGGCCAGTCATATGCAGGTAAGCTCAATTTCTGAGGTGATATAAATTAAGAAGAATCTTCCATCTGGACCATGCCTTAGTGCTACATTTGTTCCATTGCTACCAAAAGATAGTTGTCTTAATTGGAAAAGGAAACAATGGAGCTCAACAGAGAGTCAGCATGATGTATTGTTTTAGAGATCAGATTAGTATCTGGGAGACCCAGGTTCAAATCCTCCTGACTTGGAAGTACACTGGGTGACCTTTGGCCGCTGATCTTGGTCATGTGAAGATCAATTGTGATAGCAGGAGATCTCCAGATGCCACCTGGAGGCTGGGAACCCTAATATCAAAAATTAAAGTCTGAGACCAACAAAAAAAACCCCAACCCTTCCTTGGGAACTTGGTCACAAAATCAGTATGCATAGCTTCTTACATGATTAATGCAACAGACTGTTGTAATAAATTATAATCCTAATCATAGGGATTTCATTTTGAAGAGGTTCAGCTAAATGCATAAGAGGTTGCTTGCTCTCTCTTTTCTTTTTTAAAAATTCCCTATGTGTCATTCTCTTCTCTGAATGTTCTCTAAGCTTCTCTTCCATTCCAAATTTGTGTTTTGTGACCTTGATGCAGATATATTATGGCATGAGACAAAACAACCCAAGGCAGAAGATCTGTTCTCAATATTTGTGTATAGCTTTGATATTGAGCATCAGCCACAAAAAGAAAAGGAAAATGGCTATAATCTGTACATTTCCAATGATATACAGATGTAGAAGGGCTTTTCTTGGATGTTAGGCCATTGTCAGAGTCTCTCCCACGTCCACCTATGTTCTCCATTATGTTCCATGTCTATTCAAATGAATGGGAGTTCTGCTGTTATCTTCCATGAAACTAAGAGTTCAGCCATATGTTATACTGAATTCGTAGCTTGCCAGAAGCAATTTTTATGACTTTGTACTGAGAAACGTAGTTCTGAAAGAGACCAAAAGGCAAACAAGACAACCCATTCGCCATCCAGCACTCCCTGATACAAGCACAAAATCACATACATATATCAGCCTATGCAATACAAACTACAATTTTGGCATGGCTTTCACTCCTTTTAATAGAAAAGTGGTTTCCCCTGTCTAATCACACACAGAGCAACACTAGACCACCCATAGACCAAGCAGGCAGTTGTACATATTTGGAAGATTCCCCAGGTATGTAGGAAAATATGACTTTGTAAATTAACCACCACACACACACATACTCTCACAGACACCAAGAGAGATAGCTTGATGAGGGAGGAGGGGACATTTACATACTCAAGTTGGACTGTTTCTCATTTGAAATGGAAGCTGGGGGCATTCAAGCTCCTATTTTCCCTTTGTGATTCCTTGAGGGTCATTGAGAGTCCTCAATTTGTTTAATCCCTTATGCTTAATCCCCAAGAATATCTTTTCAATGTGTTGTATTTCAGAGCAACAGTTAGTCATGTCAGTGAAATGTAGTGGTCAGAGAGTTAAACTGGGATCTGTGAGGCTCAGGTTCAAATCTTCACACTGCCATGAAACTTGGTGGATGACACTGGGTCAGTTATGGTGCTTCATCTAAACCTACCTCAAGGTCTACATTTATTTGAGAGTAAGTACTACTGAATACACCTGGTCTTGCTTCTAAATAAACATTCTTCCTTTTGGGCTATTAGTCATTTTCTGTTCCATAGTGTGATTGCTGCTCCATATGAAACACATCTCAGGTTAACTGACTTATCTCTTCTTTGCTACTAAGCCTTGACCAAGAAGGATGCAGAAAGCAAGGTTTAGATTCTGTTAAAGAAATGACCGGGATAAATATGTCCCCATCTGCACTTCCATCATTCAAAAAAATAAGAGCGATAAGGGGTCCAATACATTTTCCAAAGCCACTTCCATGAATCCTCCACAAAGAGAACATGTGCTTATCCTTGTCACTGAGTTGCTCCGAAAGTCAATTGTCAGTAGCCTCCATTTAAGGAATGGTATGACACAAATGCATGTGGAGCAGAAAAGAAAAGATTAAATAAATAAAACGAGGCCACAACAAAAACAAGGAAGGAGGCACAGTTATTTTTAATTGTAATGAAAAGACAGTTATATATGACCTAAGGAGAAAATTCCAACTTATCATGGTATATTTAGATGATCGCTTTCCCTGTTTATAGGGCTGTAATCCCTGAGGTAATAATATTTTGTTCACTGCTTAGATACCAACACAGTAGGCACCTTTCAGAAATACTTAATGCTGAAGGATCCCTATAGACTGTTTTGGCTCATCCAAAGAAAATTTGGCCACAAGTTCTTATCTTAGAAAGTCAGATAAATGTCACTGTGAGGTCATACACTGTGAGTCGTTTCTCTTAAGTGATGGTGCTAACATGCCTACAGTGTTCCTTGTTGTGAAGCACATGTGAAACATCCCACCTGTTTTCTGGCTATTGAACAGTCTGAGTGTTCTAAATTTTGAATGGCAGGGTCATTGAAAAGCCAATTAAATATGCCTGGAACCTATACCAAGATGGCTGTTAGAATGGTCAGAGCGCTAGATAAAAACATAGTGACACAGACCAAGAATTCAGCTACCAACACACTACAAACTGCACTCCAAAATCAGGGATAGCTTTGCTGCTGAAATTATTATGTTGTAAAGGCAACTCTTATTCATTTCAGATATAAAGACACATCTATCCAGCTTTGATTTAGGGTTCCAGGTGTACTTTTTCAGAGTATCCTATTGGTGAACTACGAATAAGCAGATATCTCAGGGTCTTTGTCAGTCTGCAACAGCAGACAGGGATTCTTGAGAGACCAGCATGGGCCATGTAATCTGCACAACCAGCTTCTTTCTTTCAGTATTGGGTACACTGATAAAAGAGAACTTTCTCTTCTGTTCCTACCTTTGATTCTTTCTTTGGTCAAATAGTTGCAGGTTTCTTTAATGTTTAAAAACTTTTGAAAGTTTTTTTTATCAGAAATTAGCTTCTGCACACATAGGTACTGTGCTCATGTTAGGGTTGCCAACTCCAAGTTGGGAAGTTCCTGGAGATCTGGAAGTGGCGCCTGGAGAGGGCAGGGTTTGGGGAAGGGAGGCACCTTAGCAGGGTATAATGCCATAAAGCTCACTCTCTAATGCAGCCATTTTCTCCAGGGGAACTGATCTCTGTGGTCTCCGTAATTTTAGCACATAACTTGCATAGCGTTAAAAGTCAGAGCAGCTGCCTTGGCGCCATCTTGGGGAGTCGGTCTCTGTAATTCAAGCTCGTGGTCAAACAAGCATGTATAGGATGGGGCAGTGTTTGGGAGCAGTGTGCTGGGTCACAATCAGGAGGCGAGGTCAATGGGCTCAGTCCCAACCCTCCCTGTGCACATAGATGTATTGTGTGCTAAAGACAAAACAGATAGCATGGGATTATACCTTGGCGGGGGAGGGTCAACCACTGTGCATTCCTAAACAGGCTTATACCCTTCTAAGTCCACTGAAGTGAATGTGCTTTGATGTAACTCTTCTTAGGATTTCACTGTCAGCCTGTAAAATGTTTTGGTTTTTTTTAAGAAAAGCAGCATATATTTTTCAGGTATTGAGATTTAGAGGAAAAATAAAAGTAAACATGGTTACTTGGTGAGTAGTGCGAATTTCCATTGCTGGATTGGGACAATTTGGTTTAGGGCCACATTGTCACCTTACTGACTTAGGTTTCTCTTCTATAAGAGGTCCATGATTCTCTTTCCATAGATATTTTTGTGTTGACCTTTCTTTGGTGAACTCAGTCTAGACGAATAAAGAGCAGTATTTTTCAATGAGGTGAAGAAGTGGCATGAACCAACCAAATCCACACATGCAGATAGATCCAGAAAACTTCTACATGTCTGGTTTCATGGGCATCTTTGCTTGGTTCCTATGTAGGTTGATTTCTGGCACCCAGATTCTGTTGCACTAGTGAAGACAGGCATGACTGTTGACTTTCGAGTTGAAGCAGATCTGTGTTCTGAAGCTGAGAAACTTCTGCAACAGAACGGACTGAACTATGAGTATGCTTTTTTTCCTTCTTCTTATGTTTGCTCCATTAATATATGTGTTAAATAGAGTTCCCCACCTTGGGGACCCTAAGTTGAGTGGAAGGGTGGCTTAAAATATTTTAAATAAATAAAAATAAATACTGAATAGCTTGGCATTTAGAAAGTATCTGTAAAGAAAGTCATGTTTTTGTGAGGGGAGCTTGTTTGTGTGTGTATGTGCTTGCGATACTGGAAGTGATGGTGACTTCTGGCAACCCCTAGTGGGGCTAGGATGTTTCAGGGAGATGGCTTGGTAACATGCCTCTGTGTCCTGGCCCTGGTATTCCTTGGAGGTCACTCAAGTACTTGCCAGGGTTGGCCCTGCTTAGCTTCTGAGATCTGACAAACTTGTCATGGCAACATGGTGTTCAGGTAGAGGAATTTCAGACCCAGGCTGTTGAATATGAACCATCATGCATGTGTGTGTAAGTAGAGATAGGACAGAAGTAGGTAGTAGAGCTGGTGGACCTGAGAAACCAGGCAAAGAAGAGGCACTGGAAGGAGTAGACTCCTCGAGTTGCATACAGTGGGTACTTTATGCACTGAAGCCTGCTAACAGAAAGGAGCTCTATAGGAGCAGGCAAGGGCAGTGTCATTGGGGAAGGGGCAGAGTAAGGCAAGCAGCCAGCAAATCCACCTGGATCCTTAGGACTGGCCTAGGATTTTCCTCAGAGATGTAATAGCTCAAGGAGCAGGGCTCCAGCAAATACCCCAGAAGGGAGTAGTAATTAAGACAGGACAGAATATGCAGCTTTGCCACTTAGGAGTGTATGTGCCACTGTGAAGTGTGTGTGATTAAAAAATGATATATGTTGTCCTCCCTTACCCCCATCATTGTTAGTCCCGTATCAACACATGAGTAACTGTAAATCGCTCAGAGCCGGCAGCTCTGCAAGGATTGAGCAATCAATAAATTGAAAGATTGAAAGATTGATTGATTGAGGAGTGACTAAGGCTATAAAAACTGAAACATTTTATTGGGTTGAGGATCTTTAACCCATTAACATTCTTTGCACCGCATTATTAGATTCAAGCATTTCCTTTCATCATTGCTCCTGTGCCTCTGTTTGTTTGTTTTTAAAAAGATTGATACCCAGTCTACCCAGTCTTTGCCCTGACCTGGATAGCCAAGGCTAGTCTGATCTCAGCAGATCTCAGAAGCTAGGCAGGGTCAGTCCTAGTTAGTATTTGGATGGGAGACCTCCAAGGAATACCAGGGTCACGATGCAAGGGCAGGCAATCTGAAGGTATCTTGCCTTGAAAACCCCACAAGGTTTTTGTCAGTTGTCAGTTGTGACCAAATGGCAAAAAACAACAACAGAAACAATCCTAGTCTTTGGATACACTTATCTCAGAGGTAATGCACAATAGATTAAAGCAATATAAATTGTGACTTTAGATGGAACATGGTTCCAGATTTATTTCTTGGTGAGCGAGTGTCTGAGAGAGGTGCTTGATGTCAAAGCCCTCCAGCTACCTGGTAATCCTGCTGCTGTCCTTGTGGGAGCCAAACTGAGCCCAGGGGAAATAGCCCCTCCAAGAAGTGCAATGTCAAGCAGCACCTGTTGTAACTCTCTCTTCTGCTGTGCTGGTTCTCATAACCCCAGTCTGGGGTTCACATTTCCTTATGAGACTGGAAACCTTTTGATGCTAGAAACCACTTGAAGCAAGTGATAATTCCCAAACATGACACATTCAAGGACACATTGACCACTTAATGCCTTGAAGAATGAGGTTATATGTGTTCAAGTCCAAGGCAAGTACATCAAGAGGCCATCCATTCTTACATTTCTTTTTACCTCCATCCATGTGGAAACAATGCTTAAAAGCTCTGCCATGGGTTGTTTCCAGCACAAACCTCTTCCAGATGTGCAGCCTTTTAGCATCCTTGTCTCAGTGGCAAAGGAAGAGTTACTCTGCCATGTGTCAAAAATAGCCCCAGCTCATAATGAATTTACACAGGTTCCTGCACCAGTATGTATGTCTGCGAAGCTGTCCCTGACAAAACTTCAGTGACGCGTCCTTGTGACAGCAAGCCTTTGATGTGCAGCTGCAGTGCCCTGACATCATGGCAATGCAACCCGTTCAAGTGTTCATTATGAAGGCTGGGAGTGAATTGTAAACTGGCCTCTTTTACTCTCTAATCCAGTGGTCAAGGACATCCTATCTGCACATTTCTTTATCTAGTTATTTTATTTGGGTTGAGGAGAGAAAAGAGAGAGGAAGAGGAGCTACCAGCCAATTTGTATGGAGATTGTTCTAAGGAGTACATTAGTGACTCTAGGGTAGGAAGTCAATGATATTTTTAAGACCGGGATTTGATTTTGCTTCCTGTGGTGTGCACACATAACCCACTGCCATCTCTAGATAAGCAGGTGGTTTTCCCCAGGGCTTTTTGGTAGAAAAAGCTCAGCAGAAACTCATTAGCATAACAGGCCACACCCAACAGCAGAAACTCATTAGCATATTAGGCCACACACCCGTGTTACCAGAAGTGTGCTCATCCAGCCACACCCACCTTTTGCTTCTTATTCTGTTTATCTTGTTTGTAGTCAAAACCCAGGGCTTTTTTTTGAAGCAGGAACTCCTTTGCATGTTAGCCCACACACCCCTAATGTAGCCAGTCCTAATGAGTTTCTGCTGTTGGGTGTGGCCTATTATGCTAATGAGTTCCTGCTGGGCGTGGCCAGCTCGGGAGCCAGCCGGAACTCCATTCCTGCCCAAAAATAGCCCTGGTTTTCCCCATATTTTGGAAGCAATATAAAAACCTGTGAAGACTGTTTTCCTGGAGCTGAAAGTGGATTGAGTGTACATACCATGACCAGCAATCTGCATTAGCCTGGGAAGTTTATTTTTTAAAAAACATTTCTATGCCACCTTTCCACACAACTTAGGCTCCCCAAGCTGGTTAACAATGAAAACAATGTTAAAATACAGAATATATATGTGTGTGTGTGTGTGTGTGTGTGTGTGTGTGTGTGTGTGAGAGAGAGAGAGAGAGAGAGAGAGAGAGAGAGAGAGTGAAACAATTAAATAAAACATACCAACACAGAGACACATAGATAAGAAGAGACTGCATTGCTGTCAACTAACAACAACAGCAACAAGCATTGCTGTGGTGTGCACATATGACACTTGCAGGCAGAACAGAAAGAAATTGCTACTGTAAACATGACAGCAGTGATTTGCCTGAGGATCAGAAGGCCTGGGACCAGAACAAAATTGCAAAGTTCCATTTTGACTCATCCTTGTTGGGTTTATTGCAGAGTTTTGATTGACAACCTTCAGACTGTACTCGACAGGCAGTTTGACAGCCACGCTCGTTCTGCTGGACACCAGTATGAAAAATATAACAACTGGGAAACGGTAAAGCATTATTTGTATGCTAAAATCATCCTCCACTTTTTGCTTGGTGATATTTGCTTCTATAACTCAGCTTTGCTGAAACCCCAGACTGTGTCTCTAGTATCTGATTGACACCACAGACAGCTGCTGCCAATCAAAGTGCACAGTGGTGACCTAGATGGACCATTCGCCTGACTCAGTATGAGATCTTTAAAAAAAAAATGATATGAAATGCCCATATGTACATGTTTGTTTTAATTCAACAGATAGCAGCTTGGACAGCTGACATTGCCAATCAGAACCCAGCTCTCGTTTCTCGGTCTCAGATAGGAACAACCTTTGAGGGACGTCCAATGTATCTCCTTAAGGTATTTGCTCTTGAGTTTCATAGCCAATCTGTTCTATTGTCTCTTGGTGTGTAAGAAATAAAATTTATTAAGCCCTCGAAGATTCCAGATCTGTATTTTTAATAAACGCTTTAGGAAACTAAGCAGGTTTTCTGAATTCCATTATGGTGACATTTTTATCCTTTTGATTTATATCAAAGGTTTTCTCAATAACACAGACCATAATAAGAGCTTTGACAGTTTGCACATATAAATTTAACCATGTTCCTGTAAGCAAGGTAAATGGTAATCTACCTTTGTATAATTGAGAACTCCATCTGTTGTTTGTAAACCTATTTGTTACGAAGCAATCTATAAACTTCAGAACTTTTTTTTCACTGTGTGAAGCAAACAATTTATCAGGTTTCCCCCCCTTCTCAAATAGTTTCCATCATGCATTTCTTATGAACAAAAGGAAATTGTTTAGACACACTCTTATTTTGGACCAAAAAAAAAAAAATCACTGTCAGATCTCTGCAATACAAACACATGTGGTGTTCCAGTCCATGTGAAAGCAGTTGGAGCTATGGAGTTTGCATGGCTGGCCTTCATTTGTGAGCACAGACAGTCCTAAGGGAAAGAAGGTCTGCCTTCCTACATTCCCATTATGGGCTACAAAATTAGAGGAAGCTTCCATTTGGATATATCATATGGAATTGGAAACCGGTACATAGAGACCTTCTCCTGTGTTACCATGAGGGGAACCTCCTGCGGATCACTCCTATAAATACAATCATAATTCAGGAAAGATTAGAATTTGTATGCCAATGAGTAAGAGCCTGGTCTTCATGAAATCAAGTACTGGCTCACTGAGCACCTTCTCTGAGATTAGGGTTGCCAAATCGCGGCGGGGGATCATAGGTCTTCACAGAATCCTTGCCGTGGGGACAGCGAGACGTGTTGCACCCACCGTTGCCAGGATCTGACGCTATACATCGCTCTGGCAACGGGGCTCCAAACAGCCCCGTTGCCAGAGCGACACATGGCGTCATGTCCTGGTGACGGCGGTGCAACGCGTCTCGCCGTCCCCACGGCAAGGATTCTGCAAAGACATGCAGATCCCCCACCACGGTTTGGCGAGATTTGGCAGGCCTATCTGAGATCCAGTTGAGGAGTACAGTTTCAGGATATGGCAGTTCCATGTTGATCTTCAGCAGCTTCCATTTGTGTTGAGTCTGTAGCACCATGACAGGCCAAATTTAATCCTGTTTCTGCTTTTGCTATGCCATTTTCACACCACATTTCAATGGTGCAAAGTCTGTCCAGGGCTGCAGATGTCATAACTGACTCAGCACAGGCTGATGAGGGGGAAAAACCCCCTGCAAAGGTTAGACTTTTAGTTGTGGTTGCCATAGAACAGGCCATAAGAACAGGGCCTGTTATAACCCTGATTCGAAACTCAGTTGCAGGATCAAATTTCATTCCTCTGATAGTCACATGTACAGTTTCCAGGTGGTAGCTGGAGATCTTCTGGGATTACAAATTATCTCCATGAGCTAGAGATCAATTCACCTGGAGAAAATGGCTACTTAGATGGGTAGGCTCTATGGCATTATGCCCCACTGAAGGTTCTCCCCTTCCCAAACCCTGCCTTCCTCAGAATCCACCCCCAAAACGTCCAGGTATTTCCCAACCTGGAGCTGACAACCCTAGGTGGGAAACAACCTCCATCACCCAGCAATGCTGCTAAACATTCCCCTTTATTTTAGTTTAGATTTTATGTAGTTATGGCTATACAACTCCTGCAAAAATAAATGGGAGAGTCACAGCATCAGTGTTTGTTGGTCTGTCCTGTTAGCTCCAACCCAAACCTTGTGTGAGAACTCTGAGATCTCTGGAAGCTTTCTTTACACTGAAAGGAGGGGACGTTTGGGTCAAGGTGTGTGGGGAGTCAGTGTCACAGAAACAAGCCCAGGCTCCAGTGTGTTTGATAAACTCTGTGTTAATTTCACAATGGTGAAAGAACAGTAGAGGCTAAATGCACTGGCGAGGTGACCAAATAGAAAGAACAGAGCTTTTGAGCCTTTCAGTGATGTGTAGAAGAGAGAATTTTAACTGCTTCGTCTGTTACTTTTTTTCTGGAAAGGTCCCTAATTTGGGTTCAGAGGTATGTTCTGAAGTTCCCACTTCTCAGGCACACACAGGCTTGATTTGGATCAGAACTGTGGCATGCAGAGATAGGAGGTCACGACCTCCCTCCTGCACTATTTTCCCAGCCTGAAATGGCCCCAGGGGTACCGTTTGCCTCAGTGGGGTATGCCTGTGTACTGACAAGTTACATTTCTACAATGGGGCAACTGGCAGGGCCCAACCATTTTTGGGTAGCAAAATAGCATATCCAGGGGAGATCTAAGCCCACTCTCTGTCAGCCGTGCCCCCAGTCCAAATCAAAAGCCTCCAAGGGAAGTTCAGAAAATTAGTTAAGGGCCAAAAGTTAAAAACATCAATAGGTATAGACAAAAGTGCATGTGTGTACTTCAAAAACATAAAAACCTTGTAGGGGCCCAAATAAAGCCTCATAAAATGTTCAAAGTGACAAATGCTCAAAAAAGAACATTAAATGATGACCTGATGCATTTCAGCTCACAAGAGTCTTCTTCAGAGGTCAAATAGGACAGAATACAACATGCAACAAAATCCCTGTTAGACTTGTAAGGCAGTAAACCTTTGTGGGCCCAATCCAGATCAAGACTGCACTCACCTAGGAAGCATGCAAATTCAGAACATGCCATTCCACCCTACCTGAGGAAGTTCCTATGGAAAGCATAATGCTTAGTTAGCAGGGTTGTCCATCTCCAGGTGGTGGCTGGGGATCTCCTGGAATTACAACTGGTCTCCAGGCTACGGAGATCAGTTCCTCTGGAGAAAACAGCTGCTTTGGAAGGTGGACTCTATGGCATCATGCCCCACTGAAGTCCCTCCCCTCCCCAAACCCCACCGTCTCCAGGCTCTACCCCCGAATCTCCAGGAATTCTCTATCCCAAAGCTGGCAACGCTAGTAGTTAGGCCATTCCTACATCAAAATTCTTCCTGCAAATAAACAAAGAAACTCTGTCCTAGTTTGCATCTGATGATTCTTTGGCCCCGGTCACATTGGGGGAAAAGGTGCGGCTGAAGTGCGGCTTTTTTGAGCCGCATGAAAAGAGAAGTGCGGTGGCGGGATCAAACAGATCCCACGAGCTGCCGCGCAGTTGCTCCTCAGCATGATCAGATGCCGGGGGGGGGAGCCAAAGATGGGTGAGCGAGGCAAGCCCGCTGCGCATATGTGCGCCTGCACAGTTTGGCAGGGGGCCTCGCATGCTGCTGGAGACGGGCGCGCCGGCAATCCCACAGCCGTTCCTGATGCAGATTTTCTGGTAAGTAGTAGTGTTTTGTGGGGGGGGGGGTGACTCACATTTTTGGCTTTGGCCAGAAGAGACGGATCGGGGACGGGTGCGCGCCGCTTCCCAGATGTTGCGGTGTGATCACGCCCGCTTGATGCGCCCCCAATCCGTCCCTCTTGTGGATCAAAGCTTCCCATGTGACCGGGGCCTTTGTTGCTGCTTATATAAAAGGTGTGCTCTCACTCTCTCCGTATGTAATTTTCTAGAGATGAGACTATACTGCCAGCAATGGGCTTCAGTTCTATTAGTGGAACTCTGATTTCAAATAAGGCTGCAATCGAAAGCCAGAACATTAACTATTTGTATGCCATACAGATTGCTTCTTCTTTTCATGTTATTTTTATCTGTGCAGGTGGGAAAGGAGGGTGCAAACAAAAAGGCCATCTTTATGGATTGCGGCTTCCATGCTAGAGAGTGGATCTCACCTGCATTCTGCCAGTGGTTTGTGAGACAGGTTGGTTGACTTAGTATATCTTAAGAGCTCATTGATTCAGCTGGAAGCAGATTTTTTTAAAAAAAACTCTCATAGTAAAATTCTCATTCTAGTTTTTCTAAAACTATCCTTCCCAAATTTCCAGGTATCAGGGTACGTAATACCACAGCTCAATTACTATCAGGAGCTAGGTGTGGGCATCATGCATAATACACCAGTCCTGCAGTTACTAATTAGTTGCTGGGTTCGATTTAAAGCACTGGTTCAGTTCAAGGCACCTATAAAGTTCTTCATGGTCCAGGTCCCCCGTATCAGCACAGCCATCTCAGTATGTGTTACACTGTTCTATTGCATTGCTTTTTTTGTTGTTAATCGCCTTGAGATTCAGCAAGAAAGGTGGAATATAGATGCAGTAAGTAATTAATAAGATTGACAGAAGTGGGACAGGACATGCACAGCTATTTAGGAAGCCAATAGGGATATGGCCAGGAAGGGATCCTCATGTGCCCTCAGTAAGCCAATAAGGGAGTATTCTGGGAGAAATCCCCACATGCCTTTGCAACTGAGGTCCCCACTGAGCCGGGAGAAGGAGCTCCATGTATGATATGAAGCCTCTTTCCTCCAATCTAACACAACCTCTGCTGTCCTTGTTGACCACAGTCACCCCGGACAAATCCCACCTTTCCCCCTCCTTGACAGGCCCGACTCATTGCCAGTTTCATTCATTCTCAGAGTCAGCCAACCAGCGGCCCTTGAGAAAGAGGTGCATTATCAGCAGCTCCATTCCTGTGATACTTACAGCTGCAGCAGTCAACTGCATTTGCCTTTATCAGAATAACCTTAGAAAGCAACTTCCAGCTGCTTCATTCTCATCCTTAGTAGAGGTTCCTACATTAAAGTTTTTAAAAAAACAAAAAAAAACAAAAAAAACCTGAAGCAGCATCAGGAAGTTAAACTTGAAATCAAGGCAGTGAAAATATTTGACTTGATAGCCATGGCAGAGACCCAGCAGTGAGAAGGCCTCCCCCTCCTGCCCACTCAGATACGTGTGGGGAAGCAGCCTTGGAAACTGAAAGTGACACCCCAGTCACGCCTTTGCAAATGTGATACCCTTATCTCTCTCAGTAACTCAGCAGAGAATAAAATGTTACCTTATTTAGCCGCTCAGGTTGCTGCAGCTATCACTCACCCTTTGGAACAGTCAGTCCCGGACTTTACCACACTGGGAGTCTGGGACTGGTGCCATATTTAAGACATAGCCCAAATAGCAAGGCTGAAACCTGGCACACACATCGCACTGGTTTTAATGAGATGTCTATGCAGTTCTGCTGGATTGCAACTAAGAATCTCTTGTTTTGTAGCTAATTCAGTCTAGGGCATCTGTACTTCCTCAATGGGTTTCCCAGCTGTTAAATCCTAAACCATTAAGTACCATTGTTACAACATCATCTTACTCGGAAGCAGGGGTCTTTTTGTAGAAAAAGAGCTGCCGGAGCTCATTAGCATAACTCATTAGCATATGCCACACACCCCTGACATCACCGGAAGTGTGTCATAAGGCCAGACCCCCTGACATCACCGGAAGTGTGTCATAAGGCCACACACCCCTGACATCACCGGAAGTGTGTCATAGGGCCACACACCCCTGACATCACCGGAAGTGTGTCATAAGGCCACACACCCCTGACATCACCGGAAGTGTGTCATAAGGCCACACAAACCCTGACATCACTGCAAGTGTGTCATAGGGCCACACACCCCTGACATCACCGGAGGTGTGTCATAAGGCCACACACCCCTGGCATCACCGGAAGTGTGTCATAAGGCCACACACCCCTGACATCACCGGAAGTGTGCCATAGGGCCACACCCCCTGACATCACCGGAACCTCTTGATGACTGGTTTTTGTTTCTTGTCCTTGGCCCTTTCGGTCCGTTGGTTATGGTCCAGCTCCCCCTCTTCCTGTCACATGACTCTGATATCACATCCCGGGATGCTCCTTTGTGAGCGACTGGCATTAAAGCTATGAGTGAACAATTTGGCTACTAAGCAGTGGGGCCAGAACACCAGAAGCCCTCCCACTGTCCCCCCCCAAGCACCAAGAATACAGAGCATCCCTTGCCCCAGACATAAGAACATAAGAGAAGCCAATGCTGGATCAGGCCAATGGCCCCTCCAATCCAACACTATGTTACACAGGGGCCAAAAATACCAGGAGCCATCAGGAGGTCCAGCAGTGGGGCCAGAACACCAGAAGCCCTCCCACTGTCCCCCCCCAAGCACCAAGAATACAGAGCATCCCTTGCCCCAGACATAAGAACATAAGAGAAGCCAATGCTGGAACACGCCAATGGCCCCTCCAGTCCAACACTCTGTTACACAGAGGCCAAAAATACCAGGTGCCCTCAGGAGGTGCAGACAAGGCAGGCACGGGGACGAGGGAGGGAGGGGGGATGGGGCCCTCATCCGCACCACTCCAGGTGGTGCGGACGAGGCAGGCACGGGGACGAGGGAGGGAGGGGGATGTGGGCCTCCTCCACGAACGGCGCGGATGAGGCAGGCACAGGAATGAGGGAGGGAGGGGGATGTGGGCCTCCTCCGCGCCGCTCCTGGTGGCGCGTTTGAGGCAAGGAGGGGGGGCAGACCTCGGCAGGGCCTGGGGAAGCGGAGGAGGAGGTGGGCAAACAACTTACCTTCCTTCTTCCGCGTCCTCGTGGACCTGACTGAGGCCTGCTGGGAGCAGGGGGCGAGGCTTGGTCATGTGACCACCCCACCCCCTGTGCTCTTCACTCCTGGAGCTGCGCTCCGGAAAGCTCCAGCCCCATCCGACCCCTGCTCGGAAGCAAGTTCCCCTGAGAATGACTTTCTGAGAATGTGGCCTAAAACACAAAGCCATCACCTGCAGCCTTCATCTGAGATCAGCCTTTGCTCGATATCTATGGCAAAAGATCACTTTTGGGTGGCATTAAGCTGCTGTTATAAATAAAGCTCCTGTAACCAGCACAATTCAGCACCATTTCTAGAATACTTTGATATTACAGATTTACACCTAACCTGGAGGGTAGGTGTAAATCTGTAAATCAGGCTAGCCCGATCTCATCAGATTTCAGAAGCTAAGGAGGGTTGCCAATATTTGGATGGGAGACCACCAAGGAATACCAGCGTCACTATGCAGAGGCAGGAAATGGAAAACTACCTCTGAACATCTCTTGCCTTGAAAACCCTACGGGGTTGCCATAAGTTGGCTTTCACTTGATGGCACTTTCCAACACCACCAAATCAGTACACTAAATTCTGCACTGACCTTTAATATCACAAGGAAATGTTCCAATAAGAGAACATGGCACACATTTTACATTATTTCATAGAGATCATTTTCACAAAAGTATCAGGTACAGGGCTGCACCAAATATTCTGAAATTTAGAAATTCTGAAATTTAAAAATTATCATCTTCAGTGCTGCTAAATCAACTGCTGAAAAAAAGACTTACAACACCAAACATCTGTGGTTTTGCTATACTGTTTGGTATCTTTTTTTGATTCCCTGGGTGCCGCTGCTTCTCTGCACCATTTTTCTCCACTGTCTTCTGCTCCTTTTATCCTCACGAGTGTTCAGTCGGATGAACCATGGGACCCCCACAGTTTTATTTACTGCTGCACGTGTCATCAGTGTATCAAAGATAACAGTATCTACAAAATCACATCGCTCATAGCAGCTATTCACATTAAAAGGCAGTGAGGGCAAACAAGAGCCTGGGCAGTGAAGGGGGGGGGAACACCCAGAGGGGGGAAAGTACCAAATGGCATACAAACATTTTCACAACAATGACAATTGCCCAAATGGGGAGGCACTATCCAACAGTCAATAACTCAAAACTAGGTAAGCAGTTTGGCTCATCCTAATTGTTTTAACTGTTTAATCTGTACCCAGGCTGTTAGAACCTATGGGAAAGAAACCATCATGACCGACCTTCTTGACCGCCTGGATTTCTATGTCTTGCCTGTCTTCAACATTGATGGCTATGTCTATACTTGGACTAAGGTAAGTAATTCACTTGTTTCCTGAATCAAAAGCTCACATAGAACAACGTTTGAGTCCAGTGGCACCTTGAAGACCAACAAAGTTTAATTCTGGGTATAAGCTTTCATGTGCATGTACACATTGAAACAGACTTCCTCAAGCCTTACATATGGGGGGGGGGGTTAGTTGCCAGAAAGGGCTAGTTAAAGTTGAGATGTATGTAAGTGTAGCTAGATTGGATTATACTCATCGCTCAGTTGCTTATACATCTTGACTGTAACTAGCCTTTCCTACCAACTAACCCCTTCACCCTCTCTCTACCTATATGTAAGGCTTGAGGAAGTGTTTCTTTCTTTTTTTATGCCCCCCCCCCGGAGGGGATTTTTTAATTGCATTTTCTATAAACTACAAACTACAATGAAAAAAGGAGAAGGGTTGTCTACATCTAGGGAGAAAGGAAAGAAAACCCCTAATAACTAAAACCTCAAGTATAGGAGATCGTTACATCAGTTTATATAAGTGTTAATCTAAGATGCTAGTATTACATTGAACATAGTCGATTAAGCTAAATTATTTATCTTTTTAACCATTTTAACTGTTTAAAGACAACCCCAAGAGCATCATTTATAGTATATGCTTTAAGGCACAATTCAGAGTTCTTCAGCCTTCACTTTGCTTTATCTTTTCTAATCCTCAACTGGTATTCTCGTTTAGGGGGCGCTGCCCCCTCTTCTGAAGCAAAGTCCTCATCGGAAGACACTGAGTCCATTTCGTCACTAAGTTTGCTGTCATCTTCTTCCTTGGCATCCTCTTCTGGTTCACCCAGTTGCAGTCTCATAAACTCACGCACTTTGGAAACAGAGTCAATCTTTTCTTTTTTATCCTGTAGTTTGAAAATGAAGCCTTCCAGCGTAAACCATCTGTATGAGATGCTGTTTGTTTGCAAAAAGAGGATTAAGTCCTTGTACTTCTTTCTCTTCTTCCTTATTTCAAATGGAATATCTTTTAAAATCCTAATAGTATTGCCTCCGATTTTCAGTGGTGTTCCTGAAGTCGCTTTCAGGATTAAATGCCTTACGTGTCTCTTCGAGAATCTCACCACTATCTCCCCAGGCAGAATTTTTGTGTGTGTGTGTGTGTGTGTGTGTGTGTGTGTGTGTGTGTGTGTGGAATAGGCCCTGTAGACCACGTCCATTTCGCTTATAAGATATTTCGCTTTTAAATCTGTAACTGGAGCTAATGCATCGCTCAAAAGTTGTTTTAGATTCTCATTTTTAGATTCAGGGACCCCTTGGAACCGGAGGACCAGGTTAGCTTTCTCCATTTGCAATTGTAAAAGTTGAAATTCATCCGAAGCTTGCTTCTTTTCCAGCATTTGCACCTTTTTCTTAACTTTTTTAGAGTTGGCATCCATTTCTGTTTGCTCTGTCTTTTTTGTAGTTTCAGACAGTTGGAGCTGCTAAGCTGCAAAGTTCTGATTTAAAGTTGTCAGCTGTTGATTGATGTTAATCATCTGATCCAGTAGAGGGCGCAAAGAGTCCGCCAAAAGCTTAGAGAACTCAGTGGTCTCTTCCAGTCCTGGGCTCATGCTCCCCGGTGGTTTCACTTTTGCTTGTTTTTCTCCCTCCATTTTTTTCCACGCCATTTTTATGGATTGTTTACTTTTGTATAAACTTGCTAAAGTCTCTGAAATTCACCCATACGCTTACCCGCGCTCTGGTAAGTTTCTAAAACAAATTTCAATGCTTTAACTTCCGCTCCCCCCCCCTTGTTAGCTCGCTTTTTAGATTATGCATGTGGGAGGGGCCCCTGTTTCAATGTATTTGAAAAACTGCAGGCACACAAAAGCTTATATCCATAATTAAACTTTCTTGGTCTTAGAGGTGCCACTGGATTCAAACTTTGTTCTGTTGCTTCAGACAAATATGGCTGCCCTCCTGAATGTATCACATATGTCCTTCAAAGTTTATATGTACTAATTATGCTCCTTTTCAGTCTCGCATGTGGAGGAAGACCCGTTCTACAAATGCAGGTAGCAGTTGCATTGGAACTGATCCCAACAGAAACTTCAATGCTGGCTGGTGCAGTAAGTATGTTTTCTCCTGTTATGACAAGTATATCCGTATTCCTGTTTATCCTGCCAGGGTAGGCAAGGTAAAAATGATAGAAATGATTGGATTGGATTGGATTGGATTGGGTTTGAACAGGCTTACAGTGCAATCCTAAAGTGAATTTCATCCTCCTGAGCTCATTGAAGCTAATGGGTTTAAAAGGGTGTAACTCTATTGAAGATTGCACTATTAAGTCTTGTCTCTCCGAGTCTAAGGGCACCACCTGTAGCTTGATGCCAGCCGCACTAGAAACAAACAAATGAAGAGCAACCATAGGTAGACAGAGCCTCCAAGCATATTGAACAAAGCTTTCTTTTTTAAAAAAATTATCCCAATGGGAAGAGACTGAAATACAAAACCTATATTTTAGTGTAAAATTAAGTCCCCCAAAGAAGGACCATATTTGTTTTAGTAAAATATCCCCGTGCCACTTTTCAGCTCCAAGTGTGCCTCCAAAGCACTTTACAAAAACCACAAAACCAGTAAGACATAAAGTGTTCTACAATACAACAGCAATAAATATCAATGCACAAGTGGCCAGCAACAGAGTTTTTTAAAAAAGAAGCCTATTAATATACCACCATCTCCGCCCCAAGAAAAGATCAAAATGTAGCCTAGCCAATTATGGTTTGGAGTTCATACAGCTTACTGCCTGTGATGAAGCACATCTTTCATTCTGCCAGCAAGATGCAGAAATTGTCCTTCCTTTCTCATCAGGAGAACTTATCAGTTACAGAAAGCTGTGTGTTTACAAAGCCATTAACAAAGTCAAGGTCTTTTGTCTTCATTGTGAAGCCGCATACATTTTCTTGGAAAATGGAGTTCTTGGAAAATAAAGTTGTCTTTCCTGTGAGCAGCCAATTTCAGTGAACCTGCATCTTATCTTGCCATATGCAGCACTAGAACAATCATTCGCTTTCTAGATTGTCTTGACCACACAGGAAAATAGTGCAACAACCATGTTATGCCCTGGCCTGTGTGGATGTAGCATCTCAGACTGAGATAGATATGTTTAGATCATGCCAAGCATATTGCAGATATCAATTCATATACTCAGCACAAGCTCAAACAAACATACGGTTATCTCTAAGGGTAAACTAGACATTAGCCTGCCGTACAATGTCCATCTAGTCTACTATGGTCTATTCTGTCTGGCAAACAGAGATCTCTCTACATTCTCAGGGGCAGGTTTTTCCCCACACATACTTCCTTGAAAACTTTCAACTGGAGGTAACAGGCTGGCAACCCTAGTCTTGTAGCATCCTAACAACATACAGATTGATTGTGGCATAAACTGTTAGTGATCTAGAGTTTACTTTCTCAGATGTGTGAAGTGTTATATTCAGTGGGCAAAAAGAAATACAGATATACACACACACAAATAAATGAAGGGTGAGTCAGACAAGAGGAGCATTTCAAAGTGAGAGGAATAAGCACAGCAGTTCAAGACATTTGGAGCAACTGCGCATAGGGATGTCCACTGTTTATCTTCCAGGGACTGTATGAGCATGCCAGGCCTGCTTTCTTTCTCTTTTCCCAATCTCATTTCATCACAGAGAGGCTGACTATACATTATGCTCAGATGTATATAATGTCCTGGTGTCATTTTTTTAAATAAAATCTGCTCTTGGGGGAATTTTGTGCGGGAAGGGAGAATGTAAAGGCACATTTTGAACTCCATGAGGAAAAAGATACAGACAGAAGGGGCATTTAGAATGGAGACATGGAGACTTCTGGAGAAGCCAACTTTATGGAAAAGGTATTTTTGTAAAGGGAATAGGATCGTTGTTTTAATGTCTGTGGACAATCTGTGGGCAGGGTTGGGGAGGCTAGTGCATTGTTAATTGTATGTATTACACTTTTTCCCTAATTTCATAATTCAGTTTTGTAGTGTTATATGTATTATACACTTACTAAGTCCCCCCGGGGAGTGGGGAAACCCCCGCCCGAGAGGCCCATTACCCGCCGCCAGCGGATCGGGCCCCAGGGGGAACCCCACCCCCAAAGCACGTGACATGCCCAGCGTCAGCACGTCATCCGGAAGTGACGCTATCACGTCGGGCCCGCCCCCAATGTGCCCAAAGTGATTGCATCACTTCTGGGTGACGTAATTGTGGCGCGCGTGCGCAAAGCGCGCACACGTGGACTCCTAGGACAAGACTGGACTCCCCCGCTCTGCAACAGGTAAGGACTTGGCAACCCTAATGTATTATACTGTTTTATTGCATGGTTTTGGTGGTTGAGTTTCAGCAAGAAAGGAGGACTAGAAATGAAGTAAGTAAATAAATAATTTTTACTAGCTCAGAATATGCAATTAGCTCATTTGGTCACTTGCAGTTGGACTCAAAACAGAGTTGCCGAGTACCACCATGGGCGCACAGACAAACATTCCACCTGGGCTCCACCATATGACCCTGATCCAAACCAAATATCATAACAAATTGCTCTGCTTGCTGTTACCATGAATCAACAGTAATGGACAGCCCAGGATAACCCAATCTCATCAGAACTCGGAAGCTAAGCAGCCCTGACTAATGTTGTGAAAGGGGACTGCCAAGAAATACCAGGCTTGTGATGCAGGCAATGGCAAACCATCTCTGAATGTCTCGTGCCTTGAAAATCCTATGGTGTCACCATAAGTCAGCTGTGACTTACAACAGCAACAACAGTAGTAAGAAAACAATTGGCCTGTCTGTCCATCTGTCCATTTAAGACAAGCATAACTCATCAGAGAATAAAACTAGGAGATTCAAAATTGGCCACCAGCTTCAGGATGAGTGTGGAAGTTCTAGGACCAAAACTGAAAGGCAGGGGAATATCCTGGCCCAAGTGAGACATGTCCACCCATGCTATTTGCAATGGAAGCTACGGGTCCCTATTTGTGGCAAGCATAATTTATAAAAAAATAATGTTGTACATTTGAAAACTGGCCACCAAACGAAGAATGATGGTAGAAGTTGCAGTGCCAAAAATGAAGGGAATTAAAACACCCTGAACCAGGTTATCTTCACAGTAGGCAACATGTAATAAGAGAGCTTTTAAACAACCTGTAATGTGCCTCTAATACTCAGGTTTCTGGGTGATACATTCTCAGCCAGATCTACCACACAGGATTGTTGTGAAGGGTATTTTTGTGTATTTATTCAGCTTGATATATACCGAACACACACCACTATTCCCATTTCAGCCACTGGTTGTTACCATTATCATTGTGTTGGTGGAAGATCTAACAATCCTTTGTAAAGGCTTATTTCTTATATGACAAATGACATAATCTTTGTAATGTCATTGAAATTACATTCATAACAAATGTTGTGCCCAGTCCTTCTCCCCAGGGGACCCTGATCTCCTGTCCTCCATTTTAATACACAAAAAATACCCCATCGGTATTTTTTCGGGTACTTATTCAGCCAGATACAGATTAGACAATCTGATTTAGCTACTGAAATAGCCACAATCGAATAAAAGCTGATATTGTTCCACTTTTATTCAGCCGTGGCTAGACCATGGTTTCTTTAAATGCATTCAGTTCACCCATAGATTCATGCTGCCGCAGTGGTGTGACTCAGCAAGTGAACTGAAAACATTTCAACTTTAAATGCCTTCAGTTCATTTGCTGAGTTGTACCGCGGCAGTGGCATGACTCAGCTAGTGAACTGAAAGCATTTAAACTTTAAATGCATTCAGTTCACTTGCTGAGTTATGCTGCCGCAGCGGTGCATCTGGGTGAGTAAACTGAAAGCATTTAAACTTTACATGACTTCTGAACCTGCCAAATTGTGCCACCACCATGGCACAACTCAGTGAGTGAAATTCTCCATTATACTCTATGGGGATGGTCCCTATAGGGTATAATGGAGCTGAATAAATTCAGGTTTCCTGAATATTTACCTGAATACCAATACAATACTGATACTGGTATTTGGAACTATTCAGGAATACATATATTTTTCAAGTCCAATAGACCCAAATGGGGGGGGGATGTTTGTTTGTTTTTTGCACACCCCTAACTGGGAATTCTAATTTCTGTTCCACATGTACAATCATTAAAACAGATTAATGTTCCATTACTATGCATGTAAAGAGTGAAGAGGGGGAGCATCCTTTTACTACTTTCTTAGATCAAGGGGAAATATTACCCCCCCTTTCTGTTCATAATATTAACAGATATGCTACTATACTACTACTACTAAGTATATTCTGTTGACAAGCAGGACACAGACAAATTTGGTGGTGGGAGAGAGAAATTAATGAGAAAGGAGCAGAAAAGAGGGAAATTAAGGAATTATCTTGCTGCAACACACTAACTACTGTTTTGCAAGATCTGGCAGATCTGGGTGCAAGGAAAGGTAGAGAAAAAGGCTAGACTATTGGAGAAAATAAAGTTGGAGTCCAATGGCACCTTTAAGACCAACAAAGTTTTATTCTGGGTATAAGCTTTCGTTTGCATACACACTTCTTCAGAAATAGGTATCTGAAGAAGTGTGCGTGCACACAAATGGTTATACTTGGAATAAAACACTGTTGGTCAAGGTGCCACTGGATTCAAACTTTGTTCTGCTGCTTCAGACCAACATGGGTACCCAGCTGAATCTATTGGAGAAAGGACCTTGTTAGGAGGCTGCAGGCTGGCGGTTGCTGCAGCAACCATCAGCATGCTGTCTTGTCTTGCTTCATTGTTGGATTGGTTGATGGATTTAGGCCAGGGCTCTTTTTGTAGAAAAAGCCCAGCAGGAACTCATTAGCATAATAGGCCACACCCAACACCAGAAACTCATCAGCATATTAGACCACACCCCTGCCAGCACAGCTCATTAGCACATTAGGACACACCCCCATGTTACCAGAAGTGTGGTTATCCAGACACACCCACCTTTTGCTTGTTATTCTGTTTACCTTGTTTGTTGTCAAAACCAGGGCTCTTTTTGTAGCAGGAACTCCTTTGCATGTTAGGCCACACACCCCTAATGATTTC